CCCTTGGAAAACGTCCAGCACCCTCTGCACAGAAAAGCCACGTGTTCATAAAGAACATGCTTTAATGCGCCAGGAAGAGGGATAAAGGACACATACAGGACTTTCTGTCCGCTCCCTAACACCGTGCCTCTTGCTGTGGCCCCGGTGCAGATAATCGAATTAGGTTTTGTAATTACTTCAAGATTAAATCCCAAAGCTGCATTTTTATAATTAAAGTCCAGAGTATCAGCGCTGAACTATAATAAAATTGTTTTAAAATGCCGGATTACAATGGTAAGTCTAGTGGGGCCAGCTGTGTGGATGAGCCGGCAGTATGAGATGAGATTTGCAGTAAAATCCCAGAGCGCACTGCTGCTCTTACGCTGGGATTACGTGCTTGTGTGGATTCAACATCCTGTAATCTGCCGATTAGCTGCTGTAATCACCTGTAAATACAGGCTCCCCCCTCCCCGCAGTGCAGTACTGCCATGGCTGTGGCTTCAGGACACAATGTCACAGAGTACTGCTCTCTCCCTCATGCTCAGACTTTCATTCAGTCTCAGCAGTTCAGCTTTAATGAATCTGACCTGACTTACCAGAGGTAAGAAGTTCATGGGAAACAAATGAGAAAAGAAATCGCCATTATCCCTTGAAAAGTGTCTTAGTGTTATACAGAAGATGTTGAAAAGCTGTTTTAATCCTGTTAAATTCTCAATGTGATGGTACAGTATTTCCAAATGATCTGAAATACATCGATTGTAGGTTTGTCATATTGTGTGTGACAGCAGGTCTGTGAACTACTGGGAAGTGATAATTTGCTGACAGTAGCTATTGTCTCAGGCAGTTACTGCTTGCACAGTACAGAGAAGAGAACAGCGGCATCGGATTTTGGATGATTTCAAACGTCTCTGCTTGTTGTCTTGACAGGCCAGGTCCCTTAAAGGTCAGCAGGGTGTCTAAGTGACCTGCTGCACAGTGGGGCCGATGGTGCAGAAGTAAACCAGTAGAGGGTGCAATTTCCTCTGAACAAGAAGTTCCTAACTTATTCCCCTGTTAAATGAGCACGGACACGGAGCAGTAGCAGGCAAGATCCTTCAGGACCTGATTACTTCCCACAAACGATCCTGTAAATCGGTGAGAGTAGGGGCGCTAACCCCTGTGACCTGGCTATATTCCACTCAAGGCCTGAACGACCTGGCTTCCTTGAAGGTCCTCCTTGAATTCAACCAATGGAACAGGTTCTCCCTTCTCCACCTGTGGCTACTACGCATCATACAGCTGAGTACAGAACTTCTGTGGTGGAAGACGTTGGTCATCTCCAATGTGTAAAATGATTTGGGTCCTTCGAGATGAAAAGCACTATGCAATGGCAGACGATCATTATTGGTAGTGTAGTGGACGACATGCGTCATTTTATAAGTGGTGTAGCAGTGACTGGATACAAGACGAACACATGCACGTACCTACACTGGGTTCGGCCTGCGATTCCTTACTTTCATTTAACAAACAAAACGTTACATCCTGACTCGAGCCCTGCATGGCCCCGGCCACAAGCCAGTCCAGTGGTTATACATGTCATGTCCTTGTAATCATCAAACGGGTGTCGGAGCACAAGACAAAGTTCACCACACTGCACAGGTAAGCGGATTAGCTTTTATTCGTGACCTCCACGCTGCCTCTCCTGGTCAGTCTCTGTATAGCATCTTTTCTGGCCCTGTCATTCACAGAAGGAATAAAAAAAGACCAAGGCAACACCCCTATTTTGTTCTGCCCACTACAACTAAAAGAACTATATTTTATACACCATTTACAGAGGGTACCTGTTTCTCTCTTTCGGGTTGTACATCACCCTTCTGTGCCCCCACCTGGGATCGACAAGAATGCATCCAGTACGGCCCTCATCTCACATACTTCAAAATAATAAAAAAATACGATTTAAAAAAAGAAATCATGAAAAAAACAACCACAAAGAAATTAACACAAAGATAAAAAGGTTTTTAAATGTAATACAACCTTGAGGAATCTGTTGGCACAGGGGTTTCCAGTCCTGGTCCTGGAGGTCCAAACACCGGCTGGGTTCTGCTCTAGCCCAGCTCTCTGGGATACAACCGGACCACTGATTGA